GATCCAGTCTCCCCCTGTTCCCCCGCTCCTGGCCGAGGACCAGGGAGACGCAAAGCTCGAGAGCTCGGAGGACTCGAGGGGGCCCCCACGGGGCGGCCGGGAAGAGGACGAGACACCACATGGAATCTGACGCGAGCTCGCGCTGCAAAGCACCCCGCGAAGAAAGGGCTGTCAAGCTTCTGGGCGGGCCCGCCAAGAGGCGTCGGCAAGCCACCTCGAGCCCCGCGTCTCCCCGCGGGGGGGGGGGCCGGGGAGGCGAAGGGCGCCGGCCGCCCCCAGCCACCCGAGCAGCAACAGCGGCAGCCACAACAACAACAACAACAACAACAACAACAACAACAACAACAACCACAACAACCACAACAACCACAACAACAACCACAACAACAATACGAATAACAACAACACCAACACCAACACCACCACCAACACCATCACTAACAACAACAACAACAACAACAACAACAACAACCACCACAACCACAACCACAACCACAACCACCACCACGACAACAAACACCACCACCACCACAACAACAACCACCACCACCACCACCGCCACCACCACCACCACCACCACCACAACAACAACAACAACGACAATCACTTTACCCGAACGCTCAGTGTTCTCACCAGTGCCAGGGTTTTCATGCGACGCCAGCCAATACCCCCACTTTGTGGGGGGGCAATGCAAGCTCTACCAAATATCCACACGACTCTTCGCCACCACCCACACCCAGCTTCCCGCCCTATGACGTTCGGACACTTCACTTCGTGGCCTGCGGACGACCGTGGCTACTACACTGGCGTGGAGTACACACCCACAGAAGTTGTTAAGCCTACGTTCGTACACCCACAGAAGTTGTTAAGCCTTGTTAACCCACAGAAGTTGTTAAGCCTTCCACAGAACATCTGTTGCATATGATGCATATGGTACATGATACACATGATACACATGATACGTACTCGCAAGGGAAGACGTGCAGGTGTTTTTCGAGGACCCAATGGTTTTTGGAGATTTCGGCGTGCGCGCGCAAAAAACGAATGTGTCCCGCATGGTATTATTTGACAGGGATGATGGCCCTGGCAGGTGCGCAACCGTTGTCGCAGAAGTTCGAAAAAGTTGCTCGCAAAAGCCCGTTTGACAGAAATGTTTAAAAAGTGTTGGGTTTCCTACGAATCCGCAAGAGCGCGCGGGATGAGATTTTGACATTTTTTTGTTGAAAAACCATTGGTTTTTTGATGTTTTTATGTTAAAATCGCTCCGAACACTAAGCTTTTGGAAGGATTTCGTCTTGCGCGCGCGAATGTCCACTTTACCTTATTTTTTGCAAGGGATTCTTGAAATTTGATTATATTAGAACAAGAAATGTCATTTTATAGTGTTTTTTGCAAGGGAAAGCGGGGGGGAACAAAACAACCGGATCTTGATCACATCGAATTACCTGAGGCTTCCTCACGAAAATGATGAAAATGTAGCTGCGGCCTAGGCGGCGCAGGGGGGCCGTGCACCAGGGGTCCCAACAATATATTCTTTAGAATTAATAATGTTCAACAACAACCACAACAACAACAACAACAACAACAAACACCACCACGACAACAAGGTCGACACGTGCAATGCCCTCCCGTCCACGGCCCGACAGTCCACGCCTTCACCCACTGGGCGAACACGTGGACTGACGACCCGTGGACCCACTACCCCCCCACACCCAACACCAACACCAACACCAACACCATAGGGAATCCTATAGGATCCCTCTGGAATCCCACCCATAGGATCCATATGGTCACCGTGGCTCTGAGACCACCCTTACGCACCTCCACGTATTCCTGCGACTGGAAGCGATGTGCGCACCGGCGAAGCGACTTTCGGGAATCCTTCGGCATCCATGCGGAATCCTGGGGATCCCTAGGGAATCCCTAAGGAATCCCCGGGGGATTCCTAGGATCCTATACAAAGCATACACGGCCTGAACAGGATCCTGTACAGAGCCTACACGGCCTGTACGGGATCTTATACAGAACCTACACGGCGTGTGTGGGATCCTGTACAGAGCCTACACGACCTGTATGGGATCCTATACAGGGCCTACAAGCCCTGTACGGGATCCTACACAGAGCCTACACGCCCTGCGAAGGATCCTACACCGAGCCTGCACGCTCTGTATGGGATCCTATACAGAGCCTACACGGCCTGTGTGGGATGCTATACAGAGCCTACCCGCCATGTATGGGATCCTATACGGAGACTGCACGCCCTGAATGGGATCCTATACACAGCATGCACGGCCTGCTTGGGATCCTATACACAGCCTTGTCGCCCTGAATGGGATCCTATACAGAACCCACACGCCCTGTACGGGATCCTATACAGAGCCTGCACGCCTCGCATGAGATCCTATACAGATCATACACGCCCTGTACGGGATCCTATACACGGCCTTTGTTGGGATCCTATACACAGCCTACACGCCCTGTATGGGACTATACAGAGCCT